GAATTTTTTTAATTTGAGGTCTCATTTTTGAGATATTCGATCTCCAAAATGGCGAAAAATATTAGTTTTTGTTGTGTTTACTTTTATACAGGGTAGAAATGTGGAACCCCTACTTTTGTTTTGTTCAGAACTTTTTTTGTGCACCTAAACTTTTATCAGCATAATTTTTTTAATTACTACGAGCCGTTTATCAACTTTTTGATCTCTCATTGTTTTTTTCCCTAAGGGCACTAATTTGCCCGCAAAAAAAGTAAATCGTTTCGGGTTGATCAAAACTTTCCAAGCAGTTGAATTGGGGTCAAGAAGGTCCTATAAACTCGCCTCCTAGATCTCCCGATCTAAACGCGCTTGATTTTTACTTCCGGGGCCATTTAAAAAATACGCTATATTCAAAAGAATACAATCGAAGAACCTCCGGAAAGAATATTTCATATTTCAGTGCAAACTTTACGGTCTGTAAATTTTAATTTCATTAAAATACTACGATTATGCCAAGAATGTCAAGGTGACCAATTTTAACAGCTGCTAAGTTAACATTAGAATAGTTATTTAAATTAAATTTTGTGTGTTTATATCGTTGCGCATATTGTTACCTTGTTATTATTTAAGCAAAATTAATTCAAACTTAATAATTATAATCTGAACCAAAATACACAATTTAGAAAAATAATTTGGGATGTTAGTAATCAACTAATAATGCTTACCAAAATTATTATATGAAAACGTTATCAGATTTTAAAAAATTAACTTAATTACTTACACATTTTGAGAACAGCAAAGAAAACGATTTTATTTTTTTGCGGTCAAACTGGTGTGTTAGGAAAAAACAATAAGAGGTAAAAAAGTTGGTAAATAACTTGTGGTAATTAACAAAATTATGTCGAGAAAAGTTTAAGTGCACACAAAAAAGTTCTGAACAAAACAAAAGTAGGGGTTACACATTTCTACATTGCATAAAATCAAACTGAACCACGAAATACTATCATAAAATGGCACTCAATTAGCTTATAATGTATACCAAAATTGAAGTTTCTATGTAGAACAGTTTTAAAGAAAAACAACAAAAATTATTCAGCCATTTTAGACATCAAATATCTCAACAACGAAACCTCAAATTAAAAAAATTCTCAGGAAGACCCCTTCTAAAATGACTAGAAGAACACGCTGTTAAAATATTGTAACATATTTACGGAATACCCTGTAAAAAGCAAATAGTATTTTGTTTAGTCCTGAAAGTTATTCCGCACAAGAGGACGAATTATTTACTGCAAGTATAAGAATAAAAAGAATGAATGAAATGCCCAAAAGAATGAAACGCTTTGAAGAGTTGAAACTTTTGCGTGGCTCAAGATGATATTTGCTGCGAACAAAACAAAGTTAACAAACAATGCTCAATAAATTGCTTTCGTCTAACTGATACAGCATTTTCTACATCTTGATAACAGCACCAAATATAAATTGCGATTTACTGGACTAAGATAAAAATTACAATCTTTATCGATGGGAAAATTACTTTATGTTTTATACAGTTGCTTTTATTAGTACACACCTGAACCACGTCAAATTGTTTGCTAGTCTTTTAGTACAAAACAAGGTACAAGTGTTAAAAATTTTAAAATCAGCGATAGTGTAACAGAAAATGGGTGACACTACTTACCTGCAGTTGAATGGAGATTTCCCAACAAGGTAGAAATTAGAGATTCTCAAACGTTTACATTTACGTTTGCAAAACGTACTTAAAAATTGTTATTTTGATGAGTTAATTCGTTCTAATGGTTATTAATTTTTGTTTTGCATTTATCCTAAAGCTCTATAATAGCTGCTTGCTACTACCAAATATAATACACATTTCTATATTTCATTTATATTTGTTATTAGATGTTTATAGATACTGGTTTTTTTCATTTGATAATCGCACTTTCAAACTTCTGTCCGTTCGATATACATGAAATTTATAACTTTCTGATATTCTAGTCAGTGATGCTAGATCGGTAAAACTAAAATCCCCAGATGGGCACTTAAAAAATTCCTAGTTTTTCCTAGCTATCAAAAAAAGATGTAAATATAAATGTTTAATAAAAAAAGTGAAACAAAAAAGTTTATTGGAAACGGTATATGTATTACGACATTTCAAAAATGTAAAAAATGGAACTCATAGTTTTTCTTCAATTTGAAAACTTCTTATTCGGAAGGAGATTCGTGATTAATTGAGATTTCTTAAAACAAATTGTGGTTCCTCACTACTTGTTAGCCTTCTGTAGTTCGATATAAATATTAATATTTTGTCGCACAATATTTTTCCTTAGATAATTATAACAAATCCCTTTTTTCTTGAGAAAAATCTGCTTGAGAAAAAAGCTAGGGAAAAATTCGCTAGTATGACATCACTGATCACTAGTACTGTAGCTGGTTTTTAATTTATCATTATCAGCATAAGTATGACTATGAAGGTCGCAATGACTATACTTAAAACCTTTATTAAGCTGAGTGTCTAATTTAGTTCGCTTGATAATAATGTTTTCTGATATTAAGAACAATGTAATCAATGGAACAACAAACCACAGGAAATTTAGAGAAAAGTGTTATATCCAAAAGTTGTAGATATTAACGTCTAGTTTATTTTAGGATAGTAACAATTGATACAGGGTGTCTCAAATTGAAGTGGCAGACCAAACTCACCTTTTTTTTATTTAAAAAACGGGTGCCAGTTAATTTTCAAAACCCACAACATTGGTTTTTAACTGAAAAACAGTTGAAAATGAATATAGAACATTTATATCGAATATGCCTAGAAATTTACGAATAGCTCGAATAAAAATGCGCTGCAATAAAAAGTGCGGCATTCCATTTAAAAAAGAGGTATGTTTGGTCTGTCCCTTGAATCTGAGACACCCTGTATCAATTGTTACTATCTTAAAATAAACTAGACGTTAATATCTAGGACTTTTGTATTTAACATTTTTCTCTAAATTGCAAGTTATATGTTAAAACGGGGTGTTTCAAAAGTTCAATCATCAACTCTGTACATACACCTAGCTATCTCACGTCCCGAATACTGCACAATGCAGTGTTTAAAACCTGTCAAATTCCAAATAAACATTTAGACAAAATATACTTTATTCTATTCTTCTCCTTCTTGGTAGCACGGGCATTTGTTTTTATAATTTGGCACAATATGTGGAAACACTCTGTCGTCCTCTTTCACGTACTCGACTAGCTTCTTGGCAACAAAAATCATAGTAATAAGGAGGACAATGGTGATTGTGACGACCATAAGCGAATAATAGGAGCAACTTTGAGGCGTAGCTGTTGTTGGAGTTTCTGCTAATCCGAAAAGGTCTAAAGTTCTGCTTAGGTATGATGGCGATTCTTTAGGAGCTTTTTCTCTGAAACAAAAAACACAAGTATTTTTGAACGAATGCAACTAAAATTGTATCTTACTTAAATTGGTCCAAATATTCCAAAACGCAATTGTAGACTTCTGAGAAGTTGGCACAAATATTGCAAAAGCCATCTTTAATCGGAAGCACGAACATCTCAAGAACAAATTCGGTCACTGTCGCATCTCTATCACATGATTCTTCGTTTTCGATCTTCAGGTGTTCAGAAGACCATAATGGGTACACGTAAGAAGCGCCACCGCATCGCAATATTAGTAAAACTAGCGCAAATAAGATAAATTTATATAGAAACATTTCATAGATTGGTAATTTATGAAAAAAATTGTTGTGTCAACATGACGAATTGTCCGAATATGGCATTTGGGCACCTGCAAGTTACTGGTTAACTTGCAGGTGCCCTTTTAGGGATATTATGCCCAGATTACCTTCTTAGGGATTAAAAACAAACATATATATTAGTTTTAAAAAGTCACTTGGTGATATGAAAGTCTAATTTTCTAAATTGTTAAATTTAACCAAGAAATATTATTTTATCAATGGGTTGCGGTTTTGCGACTATTGCTTGAAACTGGTTCCTGGAGAACAGAAATTATTTTCCAGCCTGTCTAAAAGCCTGAAAAACTCACAAATTTCAATCTATATCTATAAGGCAAGAAAATATCAATAAAAAAGGCGTCCTTCTTTACATAGAAGGTTGTAGACTGGCCTTGCTTTAAATATTTTTGTAAAACCCACTTATATTTTCATTTTTTCATGAATTAATAAACATACACAGTTAACACATCAGACCGAAAGCTATAGAAAGCAACAGATACACTGTTGCCTTCAAAAGGATCAAGTTGCAAAACTTTAAAGCGAGATTTGCAATTGATTTTCCTTGGGAAAGATGTTGTTTTAACTTTATAAGATTTTCTCTGTTGAATAACGCGCAAATTACTTATTTATTTCAACAAACACAATTTCTGATTTTGTCAATGTATTTCTTATTTCAACTGCGCTTTCTTTAAATCGAATATGTTAAACCTTCCGATTTGAACTGCACAGGAACTACTTAAATAGGAGTTCTATTTTTACATAACAGCTTTATTGGACGCTTAATATGTATGGAAATGAGTTCGTTATGCTAAGCAGTTAGTTTTGAATACACTTTTTAATGTTGTAGATTGCCAGATGACATCAACGCGATAATGAGCAGTAAAGTTCAGAACTATGGTATTCCATCCAACTATGATCCGGCTGATCATCCCCCAGTGAGACTAAGACATAATCATCACTGGTAAGGAGTTGGTTAACAATTGAAACTTTGGAAAAATTACATTTGGTGTTTATTTTAGCGATCAGAGTGAAACTCAAAGGAAACGTCGATCGAAGAACAGGCTTTCAAATCGAAGAAGTACCGGTTATGTGTCTCCCGAAATGGTTGAAGAGGCTCTGAAAATGGGCGATTTAAGTGAGAAGGTTTAAATGTGAAAATTCAAGAAATATTATCTCATTTAATGTCGATTCACGCCAGGGAAAACCACACGAACTGACTAATTTTATAATACCAATGATGATTTTCTTCCGAAAAAATCCTAATTCCCCTAATTAATGTATAATGTTGTTACTCACTAACTCATTATAATGCAAAGAACGTAAAATAACGGTTACCTATTATAGAAAGTTACGTGCCATAATTTTGATAGGTCAATTAATTTATCTTTTACCTCATGTTGTAGTCAATATGAAAAGTTTAAACTAATAAACGTGTGAATTAAAATCGCTTTTACTCAAAGTGGAACGAAAATGTATGCAACAGGTTTCTGCTTGGAAAACTTTCAGCAATGCCCGCTTTTGCCTACATTTTCATTAATAATTTATCTAGCATTTCATCTAAGATAGAACATTTCATTTTATCGCTTTGTTCGTTTTCTATTTGTCTACTAGGTAGATTTTGTAAATAGTTTTGTATTTATTTAACGTAACTTTATTTTGTTTTAAGGCATTATTTGTCAATTAAAGTATAAAATTATTAAGTGTTTTTTTCTTATTATTCCAATTTTATGGAATCGGGTTAACGTGAAATACAATGAACACGATATAATAAGTAAAAGTGTAATAAAAAATTGTAGTTTTTTCTTCAACCTGAGATGTGAGGAACTTTGTCGTATTTATTTGCAAACTTGATCGACTGTACAGTGTGATTTAGTACTATGGAGACAAATTTCTAGGGATTGTTCGGCGCAAAAATAGAAAATGTTTAAGTATAAGAACCCATATAGGGAAATGTCTTCTTAAAGTATTATCTGTAGTACTGTCTAAAATGAATTTTCTCGAGTTTTGATGCATTTTATTTTGTCGACTCAACAGTAACCGCAGCAAGATTGACTGAAGTAAAACTGTTTAAGTGAAATCTAACTATAAAAAATGTACATTGGAAAAGAAAATTGATGGACAATTGAAAACAGGAAATATATTAAGAACGGTCACAAACACTGTGAAAATGAGAGCCATAAATATAACTATAATTGAAATATTTTGGAAGCATTAAATAAATCACCAAAAATATAAGTCAATAATAATATCAATAATGAGGCAGTTTAATAAACTGTAATACAAAAATGTACATTAATCTCTACGCGTTTATAAGATCTAATCGAGAAACCGAGAATGTGCAATGTAAAGTCAAATATCAGAAAACTCCCGCAATATATTAATAACAAAATAAAATACAAAAATTCAACACTCTAACGTTGATCGAATAATAAATGAAAAGAAAAAAGAAACAAACAACCAAACATAAAATATACAGGGTGATTCAAAATTGGCGTCATTCCTTTTAAGGGGTAATAGGGGCTCACTTGGAAGGTACGAGAAAAATACTGAAATTTTTAGTTTTTTTACGGCTAATTAAAAAGAACATTTCGGCCAAAGTGAGCGACATGGCTTGATACCGAATCGCGCATTCGAAAGAGCGCACTTTCTTCTCAGGATGAGAAAAGTTTTGCTTTTAAGCCTTCATCAGGCAGGTGGCAACTCAAATTTAAAAGTGACTGTGCATAAATTGTGTCAAAATTTCCAAAAAATTTAGCAGCAAGGGCACACATTTATCTGTAGATTTTGAAAGTTTCGTCTTTCTGCGATATTATTGGGAACGATTTCAGAAATCTTCCAACTTGGGCTGCGAGTGTTTCTTCGTAAATTGCACTTCCAAAATGTATTTCTGCTAAACTAAGTAAGATTAAGCTAACTGGACGGTTTGAGTATGAAAGTTCCGTATTCGCATCATCATTACGAATAAAATGGGCGCAAAAGTTTATTAATCAATTTCTGCGAATCTACTGGCGATGGAACGATGCCAAGTCATTCACATGACATCCTAACGTGTCTAATGTAGATGTTGATCCAAACCCTTCGGGCACGACACTGGTTTGAACCCAAAAAAACACTCTCAACTGGCTCCTTGCCAGGTTTTTTCAAAAGCCAGTGCCCGAAGGGCTCGGCACAACAAATACGGTAGACAATTCGGGCCGTTAAAGTTGTGCCAAGCCCCTCGGGCACGACACTGGTTTACACCTAAAAATACGCTGATTTAAGCCTGGATAAATTAGTGAATTTTCGGAAGATGGGGCAGTGCATGTGTTATAACTCATTAACTCAGAGAACGGCAACAACTCAACACAGTGTTAACCAGGCCTAGTGGCCAGTACAAATGGCAAAATTTTTCTATGACCTTATGAAAAAGACACATGTTTCTTGTTGAAAAACTGCCACTGTTTCCTTTATTAAATTTCTGATATGGCAAATCCTATTTGTGGACAATTTTTAATTACAACCACTTATTTCCTGAGAATCAGATGCAAAATGCAGATTCATATTGCAGTGCAACAGTACCATAAATAGCAACAAGATTGTCACGTTTTCTACTTACTAAACACAAACATCTTGCTCGTCGACATGTAAAAGTTGTTCCAAACTGACTTAAATACGTTTACGTTTTTTTAATTAATGTCTTTTCCTATAGGCAAACAATTGTGTTTATTTAAGCAATAAAACACAGTTGTTAAAAGTTGTGATTTTTCTGCGGTTTTCATCATCAAATTATCCCTGAAAAAACTTCTGCGTTTACATCTTTATTTAGCCGTTCTGCTCTCTATGGCGTTCTACTAAACATCCCTGGTAGCAATTTGCAGGTAAAAAGTTAGCTCCACTTTACAGCCGTTTCAAGCTACACTGTATTCAAGTTATGTAAACAGTCATAAAATTATCCGCACAATATACTACATACAATAGCTACAGATTTGGTACAATTAAGTTTAATTATATTGAGTTACGTGGGTTCGGCCATAGACTAATTTACTTTTAATATAATCAGGGTAATTTAGAAATGTACTTTCGGTTTTATAGCAATAGCCATACTTTTATCAAGCGGCTCCCTACTTTACTTATACGACAAACATACATGTTGGTGAACCAATGGTTGGTTTATAATTTTAATTTCAGAAGAAAATTGCAAATTAAACGATATTGAGCAACAGTGCAGCGCGTTTTATTGTGGAAACCCCGATTAATCTGCAATTGTTATTAGCGATGTAACATAACATTGTTTTAATCTTAGTTCTCTACCTTTCAATAAATGTTCTTATGATGAATCGATAATAATCTTTCTAGTATCAACCATGGAAGAGTTAAGTGCAGTCAATCTTCTAGTTTCAACGAATGGGTAAGTGATACGAGGAGAACTTCTACCTAGTGAGAATAATATTGCAATTGTATTATCCAATATTTCAGTCAAAACTAAATACATTTACTTAAAATACATAAAAGCCACATATGAGAAATTGGGAGAGAGCCAAGTAAATATTTCGATATCAATTCGATATCAATTCTGATGGTTTAAAACAATGGATTTCATTCGTATTATTCAAAAAATGGCAAAAGATGGCATTCGTATTATTCAAAAAAGTAACTAAAAACATACTAAACTATAAACATTATAATGTTATCAATGAAATCCTGAAAATGTATATGTTTGTTTGTAGCCGAAGATATTAAGGTGCTTTTAGGTAAAAGCTAGAATTCATTTAATTATGCATATAAAGTTTCAGTATTTGTATGTTTATTTATGTTGGTATTCTTTACAAATGTGCAGGCAGGAAAGGATTATTTGGTTAATTATACTGGAAAAGCTCATTCAGTTTTATTAACGATAAAGAGAGAGAGGTCCGCTAAACGGGTATTTTTCTGGGACAAGTTACAACGTTGCAGGTCACTTTGGTACTAGGTTCCAACATAAGGTTCCAAAAATAACATGTTAGTTTTAAATTTCTCATTTAAAATTCGCGATGTGGATTATGATGGTAGAAATAGTGATGATAAATAATGATTTAGTTTATTTAAAAAATAATTCTTAGCATTGGTACCCAAACTAACCCAAACTAAAAATAATATATTCTAAAAAAAACAAAACATTGCTCATAGGTAACTACTGAAAGGAAAATAACTGATAATAAAATCGAATGGTTTAAATAAAATATACGCTTTGCATGCGAAAATGCTTAAAAAGCTCTTCACTTCAAAATTAATTAACATTTAAGAAAATGTTTTTGCGCATGCGTCTAGTTTTTCACTCTTACCTGTTTTTTGCTATGAAACAAAAAAGTCTTGAAAAATTGAATAATCTCCTTCTTGTCTATCTTTTAACTGAACTTCCTCTGATTGATGAACAATATAATTAAATAATCCACATTAACAATAAGACTTATAGACTAAAAATGCTGATTTATATCATCACCGAAACTAAAGAATATTTCGCTGATCTGACCGATTATGGTTCCTGGAGAACAGTAATTCTTATAGGCGAAAGGTGATAAACACAATCCTCAACGCAACGCGCAACAAAAGTTTATGAGACGGTTCCAAAAACAATCGGTTAAATTGGCAAAATGTATCTGCGGTTACAGGTTCACGTCTGGAACACTGTTATTTTAGCGGTTACGTTAAATACCGACCATCCATAGTGTAGTCTTTCGTTTATTTTCCGGACTGAAAGTGTTATCGCTATGAAAAATTACTACTTGAATGGAACAAAATTGCTAATAGTAATTTTAGTTTTTCGGAAGTTTCATATATGCCAAATTTGCAATAAACGATTGCAATAGCGATTGATCTCAATCCATAAACTGTACAGAACTACTTAATGAATGTTTCATACTTGCACGTGTTATTGTAGGTAATATAATTGTTGAAATTTATTTCTCAAGCTATCAAATTTCTATAATAATTTTCAGCAGTGGTTCACTGCTTTACAAATTTTTATGAGTAATAAACTCTTCTCAAATTACACATTTGAAGAATGTTATCAGGAGACAGGCAGTACTTAAAAGTATATTAGCCATATGGTTTTTTCCATAAAGCTTTTGTCCCCACCAAACGTTTCCCAATTTAGTGTGAAGCATTTGTTGAATGAACGTGTTTGTACATTTTTACGTTTTGTTATTTATCGTGTGTGTATCAAACAACATTGATTCGGGTAACTATCTTGTGACATTCGTTTTCCATTATTAAATTATTTTGTCACTAAACCCACATAAACGTTCATAACATCGAAGTAACTTGTTTAATAGTTAACTTTATTATACAAAATACAAACTCAAATAAATATCGTTCAAACTAAAGTTGATTGAAAAATATACTCCGTTTGTGAGTATTTTCGATAAGTGCAATTTTTCAATTATTAATAAGCTCTTTAGTCCTTATAGTATCGAAATCCTCCTCCTAATAGTTGTAAAATGTTGTTTCACATTCAAATCAACGAACTTTTGCAGTATTGTAGCCTATGAGTGAGAACAAAAGTATTAATAAATTTTATGGGAAAAATGGGACTAGTCATATAAAAATAATATCTCTCGAATGGCTCAAGATAAACAGACGAGGAAGCAAAAGCATCTAAAAAATGACACTATTTAAACATTCTGTATTAAATGTGTATTACTTTTCTTTGCTCACTTTATAACTGAAGTTTTTTTCCAAAAACGAGCCATGATTTGGTGAAATCGAGCCATGATCTGGTGAAATCGAGCCATGATCTGGTGAGATTACCGATTAAAAAAAAATTAAGTCAAAAGTAAAGAAATATTTAAGTTATGCGAAAAAATTGTGGAGCATTGTTTCTAGTATATTAGTCAGGTTAATCAATGATTAAATATGAGCAAAAAAATTGAAATAAGTTAAATTCTAAAAAAGAAATCCCGCTGAACTTTGTTTGAACACAGTTGCGCTTTTTAATTGACATTGATTTTTTTGCATTTTTCAATATTTGTAAGTTTACACAAATATGCAATCTAGACGTATTTATTTTCAGAAAAATGTTGCTATCACCTATAAGTGAATGCGACCAATCTAAAGCTGCACACGGAAAATTAAGCTCGTTTTCTAAATCATGCATCGATATTCCGCTACTTAATCAACTTCTGGCCGAATCAACGTTAAATGAAGACCTGAAGCGATCGCCTCATTTCAAGTATGCTGATGGATATCTGAATATGGCGTTCCTGGATATAGACGGGTATGTAAAATTGAATGTACATATTTATAAAAGGACGCATAAATATCAAATCAAAAAACTCACTCGTGCTAAAATTTGTGCCTAAACTCAAAATGTTGTCGGATTTTGCGGTTTTCCGAAAAATGACCCCAAAAATTGTTTCCCAAATACAATGACCAGCATTTTACTTAATTTGATGTTACTGTGGTAAATGCGGAACTTTTCGGTTTTTAAAACATACATGTCATATAGCCAAAACATTTCTAAAATTCGGACTAAAAATCGCAATTACGGGTATTAATTTTATCGAAAAATATCAAGCTTCTTTTTAAGGAGAAAATGAAAATTCCGCTACAAACGCAAGGAAAAGTGCTAATAATGTTGTGTTACGGTGACAGAAAGTGTAAAGAGTAAAAGTAAGTATGCAAAGTATAAAAAATGTATGTAAAAATTGAGCAAATGCAATTAAAGGTATACCGCACGTAGCTTATATCCGTAAATTTTACTATTTAAAAGCTTGCCTTTACATGATGTTCATCTCTTAATTATTATTTTTTTTAGTGGCAAAGCAAAATTCTTGTAATGATAAATTATATTTTTTTAAATTTTTGCAACCAACGCGAACTTTTCTCTTCTTTCTATGCAGGACGTTCGGATAATTCCAGTTGAATTACAAAACGCACACATAAAAAGATGTAGTTATTTAGGAATCAGTTGGAAAAAAGCAATTATTTTCTATTTGAACCCATAAAACTCCATAATGACAAAGTTACCAATACAGGCAACTTAATTTGGAACAGCCTGGATATGTAACCTGTGTAAAGATTCTTAAAACGTATGTGGCTTTGGCCATTTATTCAGAATTCTAGGGTATTCTACGCACATGATATAGCTGAAATCCAGCTGAAAAATGGGTTTGGCTGCGAATTTTATTCAATCAACAGAAATATTCAAGTATTCCAGAACCGGTCTGATTTCTGTCTTCAATAAGGGCCCGTACATCATGCCTCTGTCCCACCACCTGCCCTGCTTATATGTTTTCCGTTGCTGTTCCATGTATCTTTGCCGTAATAAAATCGGAAAGTGTTCCCTAAGGAGCCCTTTCCCGGTCCCTTCAGTCAACTTCCAATCTGCTGCTTAACCTACGCGAGCTATAAATATGGGGGAAATTTGCACGATAAAAACGGGTTAGGCAGGTTTATTCTGCGTTTATTAGCTAACCCGCCTTCTTTCTAATACATCCATATTCTGCTACGGAATTATGGAATGTGGAAACTGTAATATTTGGATTAGTTGTATTGTGTCGTGTTTCTTCGATTGTTCTCTTATAACACCAATTTTCAACTTATGATATGAACTCGGTATTAAATAAGGAAAAAGTAACTGGAAGCATTTTATTAAATGGATTATCGAGATCGAATGAATTGAAAAAATAGCTTGATACAGTTTTTGCTAGTTGGGCTCGAATATGTTTGATCTACAATAAATGGCAAGCCAAGGAAAAATGATTGAAGGCAAAAACAGAAAACAATCACTATACATACGTCGAATGTCGTAGAGTCAGATGTCTGCTAAAGAAACTGAAAATTTCATAAAAATTGCGCCCTAATTTTGCTTTTTTCCAACTGATTAAATCCCGGTTTCAAAATACGCACATATTTTTACTCAACTAAGCCGGTTTTTTTAGATGTAGCTATTTACAACTGCCACCTTCTTTTGCACAGGCTTCGCTCTAAAGCTGCTGAGAATTTTGTCAAAATCGGGTCTAATTCTGATTTTCGTCAGCTTAGCAAATGCCAGTCTCAAAATGGATGTTTTACCTGCCAAACGAAAGCAATTAGCCATTTGAAAGTTTCACCTTCTTAAGCAGATACTTCGGAGGCTGGAAAATTTACAAAGATGGCCACACATTCTAATTTTCTTCAGCTTAGCAAGACCAGCCTCTAAGTAGATGTTTTAAATCAACTGAGCTTTCTTCAAAGTTTACTTTTTCCAAGCGAAGCATGTAGCAATTTGAAACTTTCACTGTCTTTAGCCACATCTTCACTTTACTGAGTCTGAATTTTTTCTAAAAATCGCGTCTAGTTCGGATTTTTGCCTACTCAGCAAATACCAGTCTCAAAATGGATGTTTTACTCAATTGTGCTGACTCGATTAAAAATTCGCCTTTCTCAAATCAAAGCAATTAGCCTTTTGAAATTTTCAACCTTTCAAGCAAACACGTCACGCTGCAGAAAATAAAAATCGCACCTAATTCTGATTTTTTCTAGCTTTGCAAATATCAGTCACAAAATAAATGTTTTACCCAACTGTGCTTCCTCCTATAAAAATTCGTTTCTCCCAAACCAAAGCAAAAATGATGCTTCACGAAACAGAGACTGAATATTTTATAAAAATCGCCCCCTAATTATAATTTTTTTGCTTAGCAAACACCCGTTTCAAAATAGATATTTTAACTCGACTGAGCTCTCCCTTTTAAAAATTTGCTTGATTTGAAACTTTTACTTTCTTTAGTAATGGCTCAGCGGCTCAAAATTTTATAAAAATCCCGTCTGGTTCTCATTTTTGCCAGTCTTGAAATTAATGTTTTTTTCAAATTGTGCTGACTTCTTTCAAAATTCGCTTCTTCCAACAGAAGCAATTAACACATTGAAATTTTCACATTCTTACGCAGATACTTCACGGTACATAATTCGGATTTTTTCCAGCTCAGCATACAGAAGCCTATGTTTTAACTCAACTGAGCTCTCTTCTTTAAAAAATCACAGCTTACAAACTAAAGTACGCATCATTCTGAAATGTTCACCATCTTTAGAACATATTTCACTCTGAAAATGCAGATAATTTTATAAGAATCGCCTAGCTTAGTAAATAAAGCACTTTAAAACACATGCACAATTTAATCGCAAAAAATAAGCACTCAAGTCATCAGACAAACGTTAAATAAATTTCGACATTATAAGACATCGGACTTTAGCAACTTTGAACAACCGAAATTAATACTTTTCTCTTGCAAAACTCGATGCAAAAATGGTTTTCGGCTCTGGAAAATGTTGGTGCTCGGAAGCAATTGAGCAGCGATGATAAATGATAAACAATCGCAACGTAATAATCACGTGAATACCCGTTTGATAGAAATTACCAATTTTAATATCTCGTAACTTTGACTTGATTATCACGCCGATATGTAAATATTCTAGCTTATAAAATAACCAAAATAATTGTTCTAAAAAAATAATTTACATTCCTCCCTGTTTCTTCGCTTTCAATATCTTAAAAAAAAACTATGAATAGTCAACCACCATCTTTTCCAGCTCAAGCAGATACGGATTTTAAAAAAAATCTCTAATTTTTATTTTTTGAAGCGTCTGAGTTATTTTCCGTAGTCTATGAATAAATCTTAACGAAAAATATTCCTTGCGATTTTCAAATTGCTGTTGCTTAACATTTAGTAACACATGTTACAAAAGTATTGTTTGATATCTAATATTTATTTACTATATTATAATATCTAACTATTATTATATTCAATATCAATTTATACATATTTAATATCTGATCACATTTCTATAAATTATTTTTGTATAGTACAGGAACGTAACAAAAAATTTAGGTCGAAACCAAGATCAAGTGTCACGTTTTATAGACGTCTCGTTCAACCCAAAATGTCACATGACATGATTGATGATGAACATGACGTGATGAAACATATGACGTGATTATCACGTGATCGGCGGGCATTTAATTTAAATCTCTTCATACATTTTATCTCGCTGTCTAGGCATTTATTGACTTTAAGAAGGAAAGATTGCGGAAAAATTGTGTGCGTCTAGCACTAGCATCCATGTAAATTATAGTTTTTGTACATTGTGTCTTGATATTTGCCGCACTGTTAAAGTAAGATATTTTATATGAGTTTTGTAGTGAAGATTGTTAACGTTTTCATTCTAATTATCGTTCAGTTCAAATTGTATAGTAACGTTTACACACCGAATGTAAGTATTGATATAGAAAATACAAAAGTCATCTGGCCCATTAGCTCAGTTGGTTAGAGCGTCGTGCTAATAACGCGAAGGTCGCGGGTTCGATCCCCTCATGGGCCATTAACTTGTTTTTTGTGTTGAAAGTTGTTTTAAAATGCTTTACAACTGCAAAATACCTTATAGGATGGGTTGGTACCTAACTTGGTAGATCAACAAATAGAAACAAATTAAATCCAATTTGTTTTGGACATAATTTACGTTTTTTACAAAATGAAGTCCGCCAACCGTGCGAATGGCATTAATAGAGCAAAAACGTTGGCCCAAGTAACTATTAACCCAAGCATATTCTACCACTTGCAATTAGTACCTATCTGATTTTTAATAGACCTTTTGCGACTAAGTGCATTATGATGTTTTATAATTATCTCCACTCTTCCCAAATGCTTTAAGACTTGCTCACGGGTTTACTACATTTCCATTTCCTTTCTAAAAGACATTACAATCACTCTCAATCTGGGAAGATTCGAAATCCGATTTATAAAATGCCTTCAGACACTAATTTTGATTGTTGCGACGAACGTAAAATGTTTTTAATAGTGGCATATTCGTATTTTTAGACCATCGAATAGAACGTTTAAAACTGTTCACAGAAAGGTATAATTATAGCCACTTTTTTCAACCGATTGTCCTCGATGTACAGAGTGTTAAAATCGCTCTCAATTCTCACTGTTTCTTTAACTATGGCACTCGATTTGCTAGTTTTCATCAGTATTTTCATCACAGTTTCCTAAAGCATAACATATCAGTTTGTTGGACTAAAAATGTGCATATCTTTCCATTGAAGAAAGGCCCAAAACGCTTCAAATTCTATCTTCAATCTGAACATCTTCTATAATGTTAATTCCACTGTAAGCACGCTTTAATTTTTTTGCAAAACTGATAGGACGAGACAATGAGATAGTCCGAACTTTGAACGTTCATTGAGTACTGTTTCTTCAAAGTCAATTGAACCATTTCATGTAAATTAATAATTTTATTTAGAAAATATTCCAAACGCACATTTACATACAGTGTAAGCATTTTATGGAACTCTTTTATTGAATTGAGAGGATCTTTCTGTTAATATGCAAAAGACTTGTGATTTTGTTCTTGACTGGACAAATGGATGGGAATTAAGTACTATTTTAGTTCAATGAGCAACGCATTCCTTTCCTTAGTATATAAATGCACCAATAGCCTATTTTGGTGGTTCTTCATCTTGAGTATTCATGGTAAACCCCTCTTCCTCACATTTGAATTGCGTTGATTTATTGATAGAATTTCTATTCTATTTATTCTAGAAATTCTCTGCATATCTCATCTATTGAAAATAGTCTTGACGTTCCACTTTCTTCCATCTTGCGTCTAAAATTTCAACTAGCATTCCACCAAACCGTCTCACTGTAGAATAATGTTCACCGTTTTGGTTAAACTACGCAGCGCAGTGTGCGCATCCGTTCAATGACGGTCACTTAAAACAGATGTGGCTGAGGTCCGTCTATAAGCTTATGATCAATAGTTTCTTAGCATCGTTGCCAACATTTGCAGCATTTCCGTTGAATGAAGTTACAATCATGAACCTTCTCATCAGACTTTATTAAATTCTAACAGAATTTTTCAACATTAGCCATCAGCGATGGCATAGAGGCTGCCATGTTTTCCCCATTATCTAATAGTGATGAAAATCTGGAAATTATTGGTACATTTCCTGATCCAGCTGTTAACGGTCTAGTTGATCTGGCAACAAAATCAGCTTTTATGTATCAGATTGCCGATAAATGGTGTTGAAGCAGCAGGCGATAAGTCTGAACCTTCTTTCTCACATCACAGTTGTTATTAAAAATACAGCTTTGCAAAATCAATAAGAAAAAAAATTGTCTGCCCGTCCTGTAACTGAATTTAGTTGCGCCAATGATCTACAGTGAAACTAAATTGCGTTGCAGCACGTGACCAAACTTCAACCAATAAAATATTCGGATTTTGCGTCCTGACTGACACTATTCGGACGAAACGTCATTGTGCTAATGCAAGAATCTATATTAGTGTAGGTGAGTTCAAGTGAGGGATTTTGTTTGAATTGCCCGGAAATTTTTTAAGGAAAATTTCCCATTTTTGCACGGTAAGTTTCTATGTGAAAAATCCGTAACCATATTTTATATTTACTTAATTTAATTCGTGCAATGGGTGTTGTCGTGATCGAGATTTAACAAAAATCAATATCAAACCCCCTACTTCCCAGTGAAGGTTTACAATAAAAAATGCATTAGTTTTTAATTGAAACCGATCATAATGTCAAGCTTTTAAACTAGAATTGTTAAGATTGAAAAAAAATAGTTGACGCTCAATGTAAAATACTTGTTATTTATTGAAAATATTTTGCAGCACGAGTTTGTAAAACATTTTGTTGCAAGTTTTATTATCAGCACTGTTCACGTTATGGCTTTTGAGATTGTTTAGCATGGTGCAAATACATTGTCCAATTTGTATGTTACCTGTGGAATTTTGAGGTTGAGCAATAATGTTTTTACTATCAATTTTAACTTACATTTGGAGCAATTTTCTAGCTACTGCAAGCATGCAGATATGTTCCAGCTATTGATTCTTGTAACATTAGTTTGATTAGAAAGACATAAAAAAGCACAGCAAAGAGAAATTCAAGGTGAATTAAAATAATTTAAAGTTTCTCTAGACATTCAAAAATTGCAACCTGAAAATTTGCTTTTTGAGCAAGCTGGAATCTGTTGAATGCAAATGTTGTTGCATTGTTGCAATGAAAAAAATGAACGTTGTTAATCTTTAATATACGGAATGGGAAAAAAATGTTTTGTGCAGATTAATAGCCCGAAGTAAAATAAGTATTGCATAAAATGGGCCCCATAATCCAAAAATCCTTCAGTTCGTCATGTTAGAAAAAACCGTTTTTCACTAGCCAAATTACATATACATACATGGAAATGAATTTTAATAAACATAGTAAGCAATTTTCTAATATACAGGCTTTCTATGTCAAAACGAACCGTATTAAAAATCTTACATTTGAAACATTAAACAAATTGTAAAAAATACGTCGAGTTAGGGATTTGATTTAATTCTAACGGTGAGACCTGCGCCCCCTACTGTCATCACTAAAGACTCAAGTGTAACCTCCCATCGAGAGATACATAATTTAAAGAAAATAAAATTTCCTATTAAGCGATGTCGAAAAAAGTAGAATTGCATGTTTTGTTCAGGAGTTACAAGCGAAAACGTGTGATACTCGTATTAAAGCAGAAATATTAATCAACAAAATATCTGGGCAACTATCGGTAGGGCGTTTTAAATTTAATTTATAGTAATAGTAGTCTCTCTTAAAAATATTTACGATCATGGACAAAAATTTAAGAAGAAATTCGCCGATTTTCCAGCTAGAAACTAAGGCGTATTATTGTTCAGACTGACTAATATGTTCGAGTGCTGCGGAATAAACAATTCCTGCTTGCAATTCGCCTCTCAACACATATTTTTTTAATTTGCATTAATATTGAAAGGTTTCAGGTCGATTTTTTTTAGTTTGTTTTTCCTTTCAAAGCTTTCCTATGTGCCAATGTCCAATTTCCTCAGTTTCTTTCATGGTTTTCAGACCTTATTTGTAGTCGATGGGTTTCAAGTCTGGTAAATTATGGAAAACTGATCAAGAGATTAGTTGGATTAATGCGCTCTCACAGTGCTGCATCTTCAATGTTGGAATCTAAACTGATCAGCAAAATATCTGTAGTTATAAAAAGTGGTTTTTTTTTTGGTGCTCCACATTAAAAGTGTAACGAGAAATCAAATACTTAGCTCCAAAGGCTTTTCGAATTTTTCGGTCATCTCTTCTATTTACAGGGTGATCGCAAACAATCAACTTTTTGGTCTTGCAGCGAAAACTTTTCTGCTCTTGGTTCGACTTTCACAATCTAGAGCTCATGTTGAAGCTCAAACTTCATAGACAATTTAAGATAAAAATTCGGTAAAAAGGTTTGCATAAAAAGTTACCCCAAGTCAGAATTGCCCCCGAAATCTGTGATTCTGAAAGATCTTCAACTAAGTGAAGTTTACTTTCAAATATTTCGCTCATTCGCTCATATTGATTTTTTTATGAAGTCGACTGTAAGGTTTTAGCTTCAACATGAGCCCAAATTTTGCTACTCGGTTGAAAAGAAAGAAAATATCACTGCGATACCAAAAAGTTGATTTTTTAAGATTACTATACAGAGTGGCCATATTCTGAATCTTTGTATGGGTAACTTCTTCATTTTTAAAGATGGAGAATCCGTTAAATGGGCAAAATTAGGCAGAATTCGATTGCCTATTCATTACCGTTTTCAAAATTTAGGTACCCGACTTGGTTCCTGAAATATCCTGAAAAGACAAGAAATCAACACTTTTTTAATTATCACTTATTACGTAAACTGTTTAACTTAGAAAAAAGTTAAAACTGCCTTTAGTACAACTTTTTGCGTTCAATCCAATAAATTAGCACTCGTTATCATAGTCAACTTGATTTACGAGATAAAAAATAAACTTATGGTTTTTTAAATGGTAATCATAGTTGGCTGTGGGCCTTTTAAAATCCTTATATTTTTCTGAATTTAACGATATAATTGTTTGTATGTTTTTCTCCTTTTGTTGCCGTAAAGCGTCAAAAGAAGATAAAAAATTTGCAGTAGGCTATGGACAAGAACTATATTATCACACAAAATGTATTACAGTTTTTCTTCAGTTTGTAGTCCATCTAATCTAATGAGCGTACACGAAGCGCAAAATGTCTTATTCCGAAGTTTTTAATCGTTATAAATGGTGGTTAAATGAGACTAAGAGATATCTAGTTTCAACCAACTTCAATCAGAAGGATGGATTTATTAAGCGTAATCGTCTTGGTCATTAAGATCCTCTTATTAATTGTTTGCGCTTGTTCTGTTTGAGTTAGTTGGTCTGCTCCACATGAACTTGCAACTCAGTTTCACGAAGATTCATTACTTTTGATTGTTTCGTTTGGTGCTTCTTAAATACTAAGACTACTTGCAAAAGGTGCAGGCTCATTCATTCTTAAGTTTTTAATTTTTATTCAACTGATCTTATAAGCGACATGTTTTATATATTTTTCCTACTGAATTGTATTGTAATTAATTCAATTCTTCTTCAATATTGATATTTTATGACTTAAATTTAGAGCTTTACACTTTCTTTAACTTGCTATTTTTGATGCAAGTGCTTTTGCAAACGTTTTTACTACAATTAAACATGTAAAAGAAAACATTGTGAAAATAAATTAGGTTTTACAATTCAAATAGCGACGCATTTTATGCCACAAAAATGACTTATTAAGAAGAAATTAAAAATCTCATGTACCTAAAACATGGAAACTTTTTTATAAAACTTATTTCTGCATCAGGTTTTAGCAAACATACTATATTCCATTTCATTAGAGATGCATCGACACGAATTGTTTCGATTCATTTTTCGCTTTTTAATAAGGGTTTAAATCTAAAATAAATCTGAAATGGTCATGGCTTAATGAGAAAAAAAAGACTAAATATGCTCCGGAATGTAAATCGAAATGTAAGTAATCGGAATTCTCAAAAAAATAAGTCATATTCTGCATGAGCTGCAAATATGTATAGTAATCGACCAGTAAAAAAATGTAAAACGTTATTATTAAAAGAAAAGAAGAAAAACGCAACAGAAGGAGCCAAATTGAGCAATAGAAGAATTAAATTTGTTTGAATCTTTGCAAATCTGCTTCGCAACAATTGAAGAAATGCCAGTTACAAATATATTATTTTAATTTCCAAGTAAGTAAGGGTTTCAAGGACATTCTAAGGTCCGATAAAAAAACAGAAAACTTCAATAAAAGTTACCTATATTAAAATTAGTCGGCATTTGCTCGTGTGCCCATCAAGACATTTTCCCATAACTTCGAAGCTTTTTAAATAACTTTCATGGATGAAGAACCGTTTCGAATGTAGTTTTTTTCTTTGTAACAGTGGGATTCAAAACATTTGTTGTTGGCAGAGTTCTGTTGTATCCAAATCCACAAAAATCGTATTCCATTGAATTTTTTGTACAAGTTTAAAAAAATAGAGGAAAACAAGTAACAAATAGAAATGCATTCAGGGTGATAATGATGGAAGAGCAGTTAAAATGTATGGCTGAAAAAATGCTGAGCAAGGCCAAGAAAGACTTCATGAAGAAAATGTTGATGCATTGTGTTTGATTTTTTTAGATCCAATTTTTTACCCGATTATTCGTGTGACACTAAACAGATGTGACCGCAATGATCGCCGTCTGAAAATTGAAGTTTTCATAGATTGCCAATTATTTAGAAACAATTATAGTTTTTCCTCTTCAGTTTATTGCAGTCAAACCACAAGTGGTTGAACCACCTGGCCGAGGGCTACGCTGCAATTTTGTTTCAGTTTTGCCATGTATTTTATGTATTCGAGTAAATCCATTGCCTCAATTGTGCAAAGTGAAATACAGTCCAGAAACATTCCTCGTAAAGCGGCCAGCATCGTCTTCGTGTGGATTCATGTGCGGTCTGCATTTTTATTCTCCCCGATTTCTTATGTACATAAATTGAGTTAGTGGAATCCCTTACGCCCGGGAATCCGTCACTTTGTATTCCAGAAAAGAATGTATGCTTTCACTAGTCTTAGCAGTAAGTGAATTATTTCAAGTCAAGAATTTGTTGATGTAATGATATTGCGAAACCTCAAAATTCCAACTGCTTTTGCTTACGTTTGCATCGAACCCAATGTTGCATTGCATTTTTGAGTGATCACTATGTGTCTTCCGGACAAAATCGCAGACGTAACAGTAGAAGAGTGGCACGATGCCGGCAGGAACCTCGCGGCCCAGTGGTTGGTATGCCTCCCTGGAATCTGAAGGGGCTGGCGAAAATGTTTATCGCCCCACAACGGTATCAGGGAGGCCTGCCACCTCCGCCGGCCTGCTGGACGGTATGATGAAAGCTTTCGGATTCTACACTGAGAGAGAAGAACCTCTAGTACATAAGGTGGGTGCTGCTGAAGGACCTGTTGTTATTGCGTCCAGGTATGTTATGTCGTCTTATTGTCGTCTAGTTTAAATGGTTAAAAGTACAAATCGAAAATGTTTCAAAGTTCTTTGAAGAAAATTCAATCAGGTTTATTAACAAACCTGAATGCCTTCTGAAAGATTTTGCCCATCGTGGACACTTCACATTTCAGGGCTCTTCTAAAAACTTCAATCCAAGCAGAAAATTATGCAATGAAAGTTAAGAGCTGGTGAAAATAGGCCAGGAAGATGACTTTATATTAAATAATAAACAAATTTTCCAATGAAACGATTGATGGTTCATATAATTGAAAATCTGGACTGGAAAACACCATCTTTAATGCGACCAGTAATCGATTTTTTATATTCAATTAAACATTTTTGATTTGTACTGAACTATAAGTGCATGACAGGCTACAAGTAATAATACATAGAGAAACTGCAGTTTTCACTACATTTATCTTTTTGTCTAAATATTATGCTAGATTTGCTGCGTTTATAAGAAGACGACGCAATTTTTTACACTTGAATCGAATAAAACATGCCATGCCATTCATTAAACCGATTTGTTTCCGTTTGAAGCGTTTTTGAGCCCTTTTTTGCTGTTAGTCAATGTTTTCGTAAAAATTAAGCACCTCAGATAAATTTTCTACAGGGCGACAAATGAGATATGCAAAATGTTTCAAAGTTCGGCATGCTACTAGTTGAACAGAAAATATTTTTTTGGATTTAACACCCACCAAATGTTTAAAGATAAACCAAATAGCTCGAAAACAACGGTTATTTATGTTTTCGACCATCTGTTCTGTTTACAGGGTGGCCACAAAAATGGAACTTTTTGGTTTAGCAGCGTTGACTTTTCTGCTCTTGGTCCGAGTTTCACGATCTAGAGCTGATGTTGAAGCTTAAAATTCAAAGACAATTTAACTCCAAAATTAATTATCCCGGGTTTTACAAAAATTACCCAAATCAAAATTGCCCCCGAAAACACTGTAGAAGATTCTCAACTAAGTGATGTTTACTTTAAAATATTTCGTTCATTTATGCAACCCGATATATTGAATTATTATTTTCTCGAGTCCATTGTGAAGTTTTTACTTCAACATAAAATCCTAGATTTTGAAAATGGGTTCAAAAGAGAAAAATTATCACTGCATGACCAAAAAGTATTCTCTGTAAATAAACGAAACATTCAAAAACATTTATGAGGTCGATCTGAATGCTTGTGGGGTTGAAATACAAAAAATCGCCGTTTTGTCCAACTGAAAAAACACGGAACTTTCATGTTCCTTGGATGGATAAATAAAAACAAACAAACTCGCTGTTAACAATAATTTTCAATTTCTATAAGCTTCTAGGATATTGAAGTTTAAATTCATCCATTCACATTTACTCCATTTTCCCGTTTCCAACCAAACTCTTTTGTTATATAAGCGCAACAATAACACTTTAATATTAACACGCGGTATTTGAGTAACTTTGTTGAGTTACTAAATCAGTTTGACTTAAAATTATTTATCTTTACATGTGAATCTGTCGGTACTCTACGTATCATTATTTAACAATTACCCTGTATGTGTGTTGCTTTAATTAGTGTTGCTTAATTGGGATACTTTGTTGCTTTTCCTTCAACTGTATATGTTATTACTGTTATTACTATATAAAAATGAGCACAGTTTTTATATTTATATTGTTTTATAATACACTCACGTTTTTACTTACTATTGATGTGATTACTTGAATCTGAATAAGTGACGAAGGTTTGTAAGAAATATATTTGTGTAAAAAATATATAAGTGTAAAAAATTTAAATATTTACATAAAACGGAAAACTTAACAATATATATAAAAAACGATCACATCGTGACATTCCTACAGGAATCGGTTGAACTAGTACGGCTATAAAAAGCATTTCATCAACTACTTTGGTGCCTTAATAAGTACCTAAATAAAAATCAAAACGGAAAATAAATCAAGACATGTTTCTAAATATTGCTCCTTGTTCAAAAAGATATATTTTCCTAACAAATAAATTAAATGTAGCACATAGCAAATATTTTGTTTATCTCTGCAAAGATTATCTAAAAAGCTACGAAGATTATGAGCTTTTATAGGGCAAGCGAGCTTAGCAAACCGGCGCCTCTGATCAAAACCTTTAAAATATCTTCCTATAAAGTAACAAAGTCAACCATCTTAAAACATTTTTTCGACTGGAGACAAGGTAAAACATTTTTTAAATATTGCGGTTTATTGAATTGTTTACTTGTTTGGTCTCGAGGATATAATACACAAAATGATTAGATTATGGCGCATCCTGCACTCAAGGGAACATTAATCTGGCAAATGAGATGATTATCTTAATTTTATTGGCACTAAATGGAAAATTGTTTTTGCTTTTGCGTAAACTGCGTGCAATAATATGATTTTAAGTTTATTTTAATATACTAATGAATTTATAAAAGACCATCTGTATCTCAACTAGCAATTGGTCTTCAGCCTCGTTCAGATTTAGAGCAATTTTAAAGTTGCCTTACTTTATTAAAACACATTCATAATGAAGAGAATGTTTAAAGATTTTCTTCGTATTTCCCTCGCATTCAACTGCGATCGAACAATTACCTAAATAATAAGCCATTCTGACGGAAATGCCTGCTTTGTCTAAAAATCTTTATTGTGAAATTTCCCATAATCATTCAACTCGAAAAAACCAACCCTTACCTTGAAGAATGTTCGCAATCGCTTGGCCAGAAATACAAAATCGATACCCCGAGCTGGTTGAAATATGTTTATGTGGGACAGCATAACTGACTAAATTTACCATTGGAAAGCTGACCTAATGTTCTCTGTGCTTTTAAGTCACGCAAGAAACTTACCTTTCGGTAGGTAAGCGATATAATAACGAACCGAAAGTTGAACCGGAGCCAATATTTCCAGGGATTTGGGCTTTGATAAACATGTGTTAATCAACTTGAGTTCGCATTGGCCTCAAATGACCTAAAAAACTGAAATCATTACATAAAAGCAACGGGTTTCAACATAAAATAGCACGCTTTTGATGTTAAAGCTTGGCAAAAAAATGTAATTAATCATTAAAGTAATTAGGTAGATCATTTTGTCGTTTGTATTTTCATTTGAACTATGAAGAACTATGCGAAAGCGACCATCCTTCGCAGCTTAGCAAAAACAGAATTTCCTAGATAATTTATTAATTTGAACAGAAATATTCTTTCCAACCAGTTTTGGTAAAAACTCAAAGAACAAAGACATGCTTGAATATTGAGAAAATATGTCGCTTGAAACACAACATCTAGTTGGAAGCAATAAACAGTGTCTAAATTTAGACATAAACTTAAATTAAAACGTAAATAGAAAATTGCTCCAAGTTATCCTTATTCCAGTTTGGATAATTATAACAATGGGGACTTATTTCAAGTTGAATTTGTTTCTTTCCTGGTGGGTTGTGATTGCCCTCATTTCCGACTTAATATTTCACAGCTGCGAAGTTTTCCATCATACGATATTAATCAATACGGAAAGTGTTTTAAATATGAAATAATAAGTTACTTGAACTCGACGTGTAAACAGAAAAACCATTCTTTTAATGTTTCAACAAGCTCTATTTTTAACTGCAGCCACCTACCAAATGCTTGTAAACAGCTTTGAGAGGAAGTTTGTTACCTGGCCGGCTTAGTTCAGTTTAAACCTACTTGTGTGCCAGCAATACCTATTTTTTGCCTTTGTATACCAACATTGAGGAAAAACGGCAAAATTGAGCTTTATGTGAGTACAATCAATTAAATCCAAAGAAACTCTTGTATATTGTGTAGCAAAGCCAATCGAAAAATGTCTGCACTGATTTTTTAAAGTCTTACCCACCTCGATTTCTCAACTTTTTCAATCAAGTTATTTTAGTTTTTTATTATATGAGATGAAGCTCTTTCTTTAACAACCGTATTATTGGTTTGAAGCAATGGCAGCAGATTGTGCTATCCGCTCTTCAAGCGATAGACTTGTTTTCATGACAAAGCAACCAGAGCCAAAAATTCTCAAAAATATTTCATTTTTTTGTGTGTGTATGTGTGTTTTGCTTTTAGGTTTAAACACCAAAGAAATGTTCGTACAATTTACTAATTCTTTAAATCATTTGAAAAGATGACCTAGTTGCAGATGCGACCAGTTTAAACTCCAGATCAACTACTTATGCGGGGTTTAAGTAATAATTATCTTGATTTTTTTTAAAACTTTCTAAGAGTTTACTAAGAACTTTGCTGAGGAAATGCTTCTTCATTGCTTCTGTGCTAAACGATGTTTGTAAAGCGAAACTTACACTCATCTTCAAGACATCTCAAACATTTTGTAATTTAATTATACCTTATGAAGAAATTTATATTAAAAAGTGATTAATGAAGTAAAATCAAATTTAATAATTACCGGAAAGAGTGCGGATTTAAAACCCGTTAATTTTTGTAAAACAGGATGTTGAACAGGATATTTCGTTGTAGTTGAACTCATATGGGGACACTAACCATACTCGCAAGTTGATTAGAGGCATTTTTGACTTATTTTTAGACTATCGTTTGCTTTATGTAATAAACATCTGTAGCGATTGATTACTTTTTACCTCTTAATTAGCCCACATTATGTTCAATTTTGAACGTTTGGATGTGGTATAATTATAAGTATTAATACCTAGAGATCTACAGTACAAAATGTTAAATTATTTTATTACATTTAAATCTGAAACGTTTGCGATCAATGTAAATTAATATAAACTAATGGGTTTTTCGGGTTTTTAGGCGGTCGTTCGGTAGAATTTCTTCCTCCTTCCTAGGAAGGCGGAACGACGGCCTAAAACCCGAAAAACCTATTAGTTTCAAGGAATCGCCTCGAAAGTCTATCTCTGTTGATAAAAGTAATATAATAAAGTATATTAATCAAGAATCCAAAGCTGCGGAAAATATAAATCTAGGAATAAGCAAAATATACACAGATAAAAAATGCAAGAAGAAACACTAAAAGTATCCAGCAGCACATTCGTCGAAACCAGAAGAGAGTGTAGGCAGATGAATAGAAAGACCAAATAGAAGAAATTTTCAGAAACGCTGCTGTATACGAATTTTAACCAAACTTCCAGAAATAATTGCAATCCCAAGGTGAAATAAGAAAAGTGTGAATAGAAGATATGGGGACATGAATTATTTTAATAAAAATCGTTTTTAAAAGAACGAAGTATTTAAATTTAATCGACTTAATTAATCAGGTTCAGTGTGTTTGAAGATTACTTTGAATCACTTGGGATCACCTGGAAAACTGAAAGAAACTCTGAAACTTCTAAGTTACTTTATTATTTAGTGACACTGATTCAGAATCAATCAACATAAGGATGCCAAACACGATGTAGCCTCAAAAGTAAGGCAAGAAACTGCGAGAGAAAATCGAGAAGTTTCTTCAAATTTTTATCACATTATCAATTACAAAAGCTGCATATTGAACTTTAAAAAGGAAGAGTAAATGTGACATAAAATAACGTTGAAACTATGAAAATGTATCCAATCAATCTGTAAAGGACCAAAATGTGAGATCGATTCATAATTGCTTTCCGAGCTAAACTTTGAAACAAGCAACTACATCAGCAAAAAAATGTTTCCAAATTATTTCAACTGCATCTAGATAGCCTGGAGCTAAAATATTTCAAACAAATGTACAAGGTATACATTTTATAAGGATGTCTAAGTTCAGTACAGCAAGGAAATATAAAAAGGGTCGGTATATGAAAGTAGTTCAATCCCAGTTCAAGTTGAGCTAGAGTTGAAGGCAAGTTCAAGTGTAAATTCGGGTAAAAATGTACGAAATTCGTGTTACAAAAACTGATCAGGACATTTTGCCCAGCGACAAAAGAAACGAGTTTTCGAGAAACTGTAGAAAAAATGAAATTAGGTCAAAAAATACATTAGCCGCCCTTCAATTCTAATATCCATTAGACGGACATCACAATCTTTCCATTATTGATGGGTAGGTTCGAAGGGAAATAAACATATTAGCGTGGCACACAGCTGGTGACGAGCAAAACCCTTTAAAAATACTTTCTGTAGTAACAAACTATAAAAACTTAGATCCAATAGCTATAGCAAAGAATTGGGAAATTGCTCAGTGTTCTCCACATAAAATTTAAAAAAATAAGTACAGACAACATGGAGAATAGAAAACAAAAATGTAGTGGATAATGAAATATTGACGAAGCCCAAAAAATTGTGAAGTTTTGTTAGTGAAAGCACTAAAAGTACATTAAAAAACTTAAGCTTAATCATATAATCACTTGTGTCTAATTTACTAGTAACGTTTCTTGAACCTATTGTTCTAAATGTTGTTTTGAAAACAGAAAATTATATTTTGAAAACGACAGCTCTTAAAAATAGAACATTGTTGGAACGTAAACAAATTCATTATCGTCCCAGCAAAAGCTTTTAAATGGGTTTCAGTAGCTCCTACGTGACCACGTTCATGGGGTTCATAGTTAGTATTTAAAAACAAAGATCAGTCAGAGAATCGGTCAGTTTCATCTCGTTCCTTTCTGCTACTGTTTGTTATTTTTGATTGGCGATTGCCTGTTTATCGTAAACTTGAACGCAGCTGGTAAATAGTGACGGAAACGTTAGTGCAGTTTTGATTATCCGTATTATCAGGTTCGGATTTGTTCAGAAAATGTATGTAAATAATCGTGGCTAACCGGATTGTTGTTGATTTTTGCATGCTTCACTCCACTTGTTTTGCTTCTAATAAGCTTTGCATGCATTACACGTTTCCAACAATATTTCATTTCATCTACGTATTGATTGTGAAATACACACCTGCAATAAGATATCAACCAATCGCATGTGGTTTTGTCGCAGATACGCTCCAAGAAGCAAATTTATTTCGAGTATTTACATAAATTCGAGAATGGATATAAAGCTTGTAAAGTCTGGGAAGTTTGTTTTACGTGGTTTTATTGGAATTTGTTTTCGAGGAAGTATCAACCAAAATGCTAAGCGAATCAATGAATATACATTATCTAACTTACAAAAATATAGATTTAACATTTTCGAGCTGAGGAAAAAATAGCTGCACCAATAAAGTCTGCAAAAGTATTTAATAAAACCCGACTTGTCCCATTTGCGAAAGAATCTCTTACCACAGAAGCAAAAAAGTATAGTGTTTTTTAATTTGGTTTTTCTAGGGGTTTTCATTTTTAGGAGAATCACTTCCTTATTATTCACTTTAACTTGTTTAACGTTAATAATGTTGTGATTTGCTTTTTAGCTTGTCCAGTTCACAAAATTCACATAGGATTTTAATTTTTTGCATATCTATAGATACTAAAATAAGAAAAACTACAAAGCCTTAAAAGAAAAAAACATAATACCATCAACAAACACGCATTTTAAAATCTATGCGGCGATAATCGGATTTTCATTTCCAGAATCATAAACTTTTTTCAATATTGACTCCCTTAAATGTTGACAGTCTTAAATATTATCTATTATTGATATTATTTAAGACTTGAAAGTTTAAGGATCAATTATTACAAAACACCCCAAAGAGTGCGTCGTTTTATTGTACTATTTTTGTTTTAACAAAATGAATGAATTAATTTATCCTCATGCAAACAGTAAATTTTAAGTAAAAAAAACGCTTAGGAAAATAAAACCTTCCAAATAAACAGCTCAAAATATCAAAGTTAAAACTTTCCTAAATATTGATTGATTTGATTTTTAATTATTCTAATTTAAAGTGCGTATGTTTAGCTTCTCAAATATTTCTATAATTGGAAATGTATTTATTGATCTCAAAATCAAGGAAATAATAAAGGCAATAAGAAATGTATTAGAAACCTTACCACATAATTGATGGTGAATGCAGTTTGTCCTATGCAAAAGATTTATTCATTTTCCAACATTTTCTAGACTATTAAGGTGTAAGATTAGTATCTTTTATGTTTTCCGCTTAAAAATAGGGAGCCTGACAAATATACAAAATTCAAAATAACGCACTTCTGGTGGCTCTTGAAGAAGGGAGCTACTTTTTGCCAAAAATATAAACACGGATTACTTCATTATTTTTTAATAATTTTTAAATATCATACCAAATATTTCTGGGTTTATTTGCACACCTTTTTTATTAGAAAATAATGTCATGGAACTTTTAGCACCCGATTCAACCTTTTTACCTTTTTCTTTATTGCTTTTAACTCGGGGAAAATATGCAAATATAACAAAAGTTGCCAATGTTTTTATAAAATCAGCAAACTTGTCTCTTATTCGTTAAATGTTTTAAGCTGGGAGACTATTTGCAAAACTAATGGGAAGACTTTAGACATAATTTGAAAGTTTTACATGTCTTGCAGCATTTAATTAACTTTATGGTGTAGGTGTCTGTTCAGGCAGTATCGACTAACATAAATCCATGTGTTGTTAAATTAATTAAAAGCGAAGTAGTTACTATCCTGATTAAAATCCTGGTGGTGGTAACGCTGAACCCTCGAAATAGCTACCTCGAACTACCCTTATCTAATTATATCTGTTATTTTCTCCTCCTATATCCACTCTAACTTATTCTGTTTGTTATAGGACTGACGTCGTAAATCCCAGTTTGAACAGGAAAATGCCCACTTCCGGTATAGCCGAGGAGGCAGCCCTATTGGGGTAAGATTGCGATCACAACTTGATTAATAAAAACATTACTTTCCTCTATTTTTGCTGTTTTATTTTTGTAAAGCTTTCCATTGATTACGAGCTGGAAGTGACTAGCTATTTTCCAGAAAGTAGCTGTCCTCAAGGATAAACATGTAATGTGGTAATAAATTACCCGTGTTTATCCAAATCCAAGTTAGCGAGTTTATGTGATGTTTGGTACATAATTGTTAAAAGCGTGTCGCATTTTACCGTAGCCAAAGCCACATTTTGAAATCGAGCCAACAAAAACTTCAGTTCGCGCCTTTGGAGACGCAATTTGTTGACAAAGGAACACTATATGATCGGCACATAAATTAGCACGCGAAAATAAAATGATTTTACTGTGTTTTACAATGTTTACACACTTTCAGTACGATTCCGTGCGTTTTAAATCCTTGAATTAAATAATGTATATTTATATATGTTTTTAATTTCCATTTGATATTGTGTTTAATTCTATTTTCTTTCATGGGTAACCAACATTTTCGATAGCTTGTCAATTTTTTTTTTCTGAATCTTTAGGACCATGCCCTCCGATTCTATGGACGATATTGAATTGAAGAATATAAAACTGCAATTCCCTCATGCTCGATCCATGTCCAGAGAAGATTCCAATGCCCAGGAAGAAGTGGTGGAAACCGAGCGTGGAAATGTAGTGGTTGCAGTTCAAGGAAATAGAAGCAAACCTGCCATTGTAACTTATCATGATTTGGGACTTAATTGTAAGTATCAGGAATTTTATTACAAAATTTCTTTGATGTATATGATGTGAGAGAGACATTTATGAATATTTTTAAATTACCTACAAAAGTATGTAGTAAAACGCCCTGTTATAAGCTTGTCTTTTGCTTCAGTGCGACTTCGTTCTTCTGAGTTTATAACTTTTCTTGTTTTTCTTAAGGGTTTCAAACTTTCTTAAAATATGAAAATCGAACTGAACTCGGCCTGTAATTACGCAATTTTCAATTCGTTTAAGCAAATCTCAGTCGTTCATAAAATGCACATTGTCTAATCAAGTCTTTTCAATTTCGTCCTTACTTCTTCTATTTGCTTAACTTTCTTCATTAATTTTTGAATTTTGTATTAATACTTTTATATGTATTTTTGCTTTCGCTATTGTCTAGGCATCGGCGAATTAAGGCCAGTTTGTTTGATTTAAAAAATTTCTCTGGTTTCAGAAGTTAAAATTCGCCTTAGCAAAATAGTAAGTTTTTAGGTGTACCTATATCAAACGAATAAAATATTATCGCCCCTTTTTAATTTTTTTTCTAAACCCAGTTATCATTCACTTTTCAAGTAAATGAAATTTGGCAGACCGCTAGGTGTTTTTCGGAACAAATAATCTTGACTTTTGACTCTAAATTAACCATTTTTTTCCAGATATTTCCAATTTTCAAGCATTTTTCAACTACATCGATATGCGTGCTTTAATAGAAAACTTCTGCATTTACCATGTGAACGCGCCTGGGCAAGAGGAAGGTGCCCATACTTTACCCGAAGAGTGAGTAGATCTTGTTTCATTATTGTTATGTGTCATAAATGTACTGACTTCTAATATTTAGAAGAAAATATGTTTAAAATTGGTTTAAGGTAAACTGCTAGGTAAAATTCACTCACCCAAATTTGCCATTGCTTTGAAAGTGGAGAAATTCTGATTGCTTAGAGCGATTTATTTTCGGTTTGAAGCGCTATTTTTAAATACATAGTTTTTTTATAGTTTAAATTAAGCGAAAAATTAAGCACTTCGGATAAACTTTCTAAAGGGCAGCAAAAGAAAATATACAAAATTTTGCAAAGTTTGCTGGTTGGACAAAAAAAATGTTTTCTTGGACACCCATAGATTGAAGGTAAACCAAATAGAACGAAAGTTTTCTTGTATGGAAAAGTTCATGTTCAGAGAAAGTGGCCTTTGCTTCATGATTTACCAAAACCGATCTAACAAACGTATTGTCAATAAATTCAAGACTTTCCTCCACGCTCTCTACCTTCCCAATGCAGGAAAAGTATGCCCTTAAAGCATTTTTTAGAACCGATAAAATGAGGACTTTTTCTACTTTAGTTACATTTATCCTTCTATGGATGAGTTGGCCGATCAGCTGAATCATGTTGTGCTCCATTTCAATCTGAAACACTTCATCGGGTTTGGAGTTGGGGTTGGAGCCAATATTCTTTGCCGATATACCCTTAATCATCCTGAAATGGTGAGTGAATTTGATTTCAATCAGTTGAATGCTTTGGAAAGGGTGAAATGAGTCTAAAATTCGTCCGAATATATTTAGGTTTCTGCTCTCTGTCTAATCAACTGCGTAAGCACGCAACCTGGATGGATCGAATGGGGTTACCAGAAGCTCAACACCAGACATTTGAGATCCAAAGGAATGACCGAAGGCGTTTTGGATTATCTAATGTGGCATCACTTTGGAAGGGTAAAACGTTCCACTAAGTTTAACCAAGTTTACAATTTAGACGATTAATTGCTTCAGAACACGGAAGACCGTAGCCGAGACTTGGTGCAAGTCTACAAGTCCTATTTCGAGAGGAATGTGAACCCGACAAATCTGGCTCTTTTCATCGACAGTTACGTGAAAAGAACAGACCTGAACATTCACAGGGATCCAGATCCCACAAAGAAGAACGCAGCTACGCTCAAAGTGCCGGTTATAAATATTACCGGGGCTTCGAGCCCTCATGTAGACGACACTGTGACATTTAACGGAAGATTGGATCCCACTAATTCTTCATGGATGAAGGTAATGTTAGTTAAATACGTAAGCAGTCAGTCATCGTAAGAAAATCAAATGTGCTTCTTTAGTCGGTTTATATGCTCATGTTATTATGGTTTAGTCAAAGAATAGATTTTTTCAAAGTCAATTTTAAATGACTAGAGGAACATTCCAGTCACAATCGTCATTCATTGAAAAAATTGCTGCTACATTTGTTGTGTGAAATATTTTCCCCATTTATCTGACGTTTTAAGTTTCCTATTGAATTAGGATTAAGATTTATTTTTTGTTTTTCTGTCATCTTTGACGATGCGGCTTTACAATAATCACCATGTTAATTTGAAATTTGAGTTTTAATATTTTGCCTCTTAGGCTAGTGTTGCTTTAACTTTAACATTTTCATTGGGTTATTTTTTAATTATATTGAAAGTTACAAATAAGGTGATTCAAGAAATTTGATAGAACAGAACTGTTTATATAATTAATATCAATGTTTTCTGGCCTGGGTGACTCAGTGTATTTTGAGGAGTTGGAGCAGTGCTACGTAAATGGCTTGGTGCGCCAACCCAAAGCACCGGCGCAGTAACTCAGTTCCGTTGCTGGGAAAATGTTGATGACTTTTTTTAGTTCTTTTTAGATGTATTTTAAGGGTCATTTATTAATAATCTGTTTAAAATTTCGTCAAAATTTCAGAATTTTACAGTTTTAGCCAAGTTACCCTTTTTTCTCAATGCTCAATTTTCTAAAGTCTCACTTAAAAATGCTGACAATCTTAAGGTATTTTCCGCGAAAATTATGAACTGAATTTGGAATCCTCCGTCGCTTTTAAAAAGACTTGAAATCCCTTTCCAAGTTCGAATTTGGAACAAAAATCAAATAATTTTCTATCAAAAAACGAACAAAATAAGCGAAAGTTTATAACAGATTATTTGTAAACCTCGTCACCTCCATACCTTGGAAGACTGTAGAGTTTGTTAAAAAAAAAATGCGGTTTTTAGTTTTAACGGATTTTTTTTTTGCTTTACTTTCTACTCAAAAACGCTCTATTTTGTTCACTTAAAAATACTGACGATCTGGAGGTCTTCGATCCGAAAAAAACGGGAGGAATAAATTCCTCCCGTTTTTTGCCCGAAAACCATTAAAGTTTTCTGCAAAACCGATCACAAAACTGAAAGTTTTTAATGAAAAACGCAAAAAACCATTATCTGCTATTCAGCCAAAAATGCCAAAATAAATTTTGCTAGAAATTTCGCCTCATTCATTGGTTTGCTCGGTCTTTTTCAAAAATTATTTCCCTGAACTGAAAAAGCGAAAGTTTATAATCATTTATTTGGAGAACTGAGATTTCTTCACTTTTAGGCCAATATTTCTAAACAACACTGTCTCTAAACAGAAAAACCGAGTTTTTTACTGTAAAATACTGGAAAACTGAATCTTTTATTTATTAAAAAACTAAGAGATCGATTTTACAAGGAAACTCGTAGACTTTCTTTGTACTCAGTTCTGTTGCGTTGGGGGAAAATCTAGATGCCTTTTTTTAGTTGTTGGAACAAACTAGTAAAACATTGCTCACAAAAAATGACCTTGTTTTTAGATGTGAAAATTCCAGTCTCGGGTCTCGTAAAGCTTTAATAAATCAAGCATAACTCATGACCCGATGAGTTATAACTCAGAGAGCGCCAATAACTCAATAGCGCAACTCAACACAGTGTTACCCAGGCCTACAAGGCACCTTATTTTAATCAAATATACATCAATATTCAATGTGAAAGAAACTAAACTTGCGAGTTTATTTGATACACATTTCGAGTCGAACTGTTCACATACAATTTGAGAAAATACGAAACTGTTCGCGTTTTCAGATTTCCGACTGTGGCATGGTTCTTGAAGAGCAACCAGGAAAAGTGAGCGAAGCCTTTCGATTATTCCTGCAAGGCGAAGGCTATGGTAAGTAAATCCGTTCCGTCAAAACTTTCGAGCACAATAATGTCATAAAGTAAATGATTGCAAAATTCCAAACCCCCCTTTTTAAAACTTTGATTATCTCATTTTGGGATTTTGGAAATCATCTTCGAATAATCTATACCTAATTCGTATTACTATGTAAACCTATTGTAGAGCATTAAACATGTTCAAGTTTCAATTAACAGAAGATTCAAGATCCGTTCCCCATCAACAAGCATCACCGTAAAAGGCCTAAGTATTATTCTAAATACGTGAACGGAAGCTTGATAATCTCGTTAATAAATTAAATGTAATAACTGTTACGTACATTTTATCACTGCAATTTATAAAAGTAATGCTTTACGGTTCAACACCGCTCAGGAACACTGCTTTCGATAAAACTAGTGCAATTTAGTTAGGTATTTGCTATACGGGTAAGCTCTTTGGAATCATCATTGTTATTAAATTTTTCGCTGCTTATTGTTAATCAATCCTCAAGGTCAAGTCATCAATCAAGAAAGCTCAAGAAAAACTAAACCCCAATTGTTTCAAAATTATCCCGAACAAACACTTAACACTTAAACTATTACTCAACGCATTGGCTGTTGATCAAAGAAAAACGCTAATTCTACAATTTTTGTACCATAAACATGCGTTTCTGTTAGAATCTCACTAGGCATGACCTGCTTGTACTTGAGGATTAAAAAAATGTCAAACAAAGTCTTCCCAAATGTACCAATCTTGGTCGCTAAAATAAGTTGTAAAAGCAGTTTTATTAAAATATAAGCCCGTGTTGTTCATAGATATTAAAATTAATTAAGTATGATACCAGGCTTCCAAAGAGTTTGCCTTTGTCAAGTCGTTTAATATATCAACGAAGAAACCATAATAATTTAGAAAAACAAACACGAATACACACTGAGTTTAATTTTATTTTTCTAATGTTTGCGTTATGGTTGGACAATGTGCGCGAATGGTATGTATATTGTTCACATTGTAATTTTCATCCTATTTTTCTTTGTTGTTGTAAACAATTTTTTATTTCATTTTTGTGTTAATAATTGTAGCGGCTTCACTGAAGTTGAGCCCCAAAATCGAGTCTGTAGTAGAACGATATTAACTGATGTTTGGAATATTTACTTGTGGACTATTTAGATAAAGATTAATCCGGAAATGTTCAATTTCTTAAGAATAAATCATATATTTTCATACCTAAATGCTGAATAACATTTGATAAAAAACAGTATTAAACATTTGCAGTATTCAAGAATAGTTTTGTATGAACATAAACAATTATTGATTAAAACAAACTACTGTTTATACTCTATATAATGTAGTATTGTAGTTGAAATTAAATTAACTTATTGCTCATACATCAGGTAGTTTATTTATTATTTCATAAGCTGATTGGCAACCTGTGGTCATTTTTCGCACACACATTCATATTTACTGCAAGCATTTTATTTTATGTTTTTAATATATTTTTTAGCGTTTATTTCGTAATTTCGCAGCAGATCTTTCTGGTTGATGGCTCAGTTGAATCAGTGCCAAATAATGATTGATCTAAAGCGAAACATTTCGAGTAATTTATTTGCGTTTATAAATGCTACCATTCTTTTTAGCTGTTCATGTGAGACGGAGGTCTAGCTGTATGAGTGTTGGTTCGTTAGGAACACCAAAGTAAACTTTAGTGTTTAACTCAGAGTTAAAATTAAAGGTCAGTGACCATGACCATTCTTGTTTGCCATGTAAGTTGCAAAACTGTTTTAAGATGTGTATGTTAATTAACAAATTAATACTCACCGGAGCACACAAAACACACAATTCACTTTTTATCTTAATTAATAACTGAAAAACTGGTATCAAAAATTATATTTATTAGTTTTCACTTACTTTTGAGTTAGTAATTAACTTATTAATGCTCCTCCTGATACATTTTCCTCGCCTCCTGATACATTTTCAAATAATATATTTAATCTGAACCAAAACTGAATACACATGCCGTAAAAAACACACTGATTTACTAACCGAACATTAACACAGGTTTTAGATAAATGGACCTTCAATCTTTAAAGAGTCGATTGGTCAAATGAGTGCCGTATGTCTTTAATTTTTAATTTTCTATTAATTCTATTTTTTACTACTTTTACTTATATGGGTGTTTTTGTGTTGATTGGTTGCAAGCAAAAACTCGCTTATTCCTGTTTTTATATGTATTTGGTTGCTGCATAAGTGTTTTTATTTAGTTTAAATTGCACAACACACTAACTACTGCTTACGTGATTTTTTATTGTGTCGTATTTTTTGGCAAATAGTGCAGAGCACGAGTTTAAAGGAATTGAGCGTTGGGTAACAAGGTTACGTAAAACTTGTGAGTTTTTCAGGATTTTATTCCGTCTTGGAATTTTTTTTCTGGCGTTTTGTAAGCACGAGTAGTTGCGGTAACGTGCAAATTACCTTTGAAGGTGCAAGCTACTTGTGCTAGCGAAACGCATGGGAAAAAATATTTGCTGCGACGGTTTAAAAACCCGAAAAACTCATCAGATTCAACCGTAAACGCCTTTTGATAGTCACCATGCGAATTTTTCGCTAAACAAACGAAATATCGTGGTATTGACTAAATGGGAAAACTAACTAGTTTCTTGTATTGTACTAAACCAGTCATTTTTATTTTCAAGTGCATGTATTAAACAGACCCTTGCAATGAAGTGCTAAAAACCCATATTCCATTGGAAAAGTTGGATTCTTAAAAAAGTTATGCAGAGCTTGAATTTATTCAATTTGGCTGTTTCACATTGAATAAAACATAACTTTGTTGTGTGTATCTTTGGATTCTCAATTTCTTTGTGGGCAACATAAACGTATAAAGAACTAACTGAATTCTGAATAGACTATTTTAGAAATAAGTTCATCTTATTTCTCGACTTTTCCAAGCCAAAGTAGTTACGAGTTCCTAATATTTCCGTTCTGTAGAACTGGTGAACTTCGAGCTTTTAGGCTGCTGTAGAAACAGTTTTCTTCCAGAAAATTTCTTTGTTCGCTTTCGAACGAATCACTTCTGAAGATGCAAGCTTCTGGTGCTTACGAAACGTCTGGAAGAAAATGTTTCTATATTGACCTCAAAGCCCAAAACTCACAAGTTTCAAGTAATCACCTCCAAAATCTGTTGACTTCATATCTTGATTTAAATAAATCAGATGCTAAATCCCATACGTTTAACTTTGCATACCAGGAATATTTACACCCATGGTATTTTACTTTCTCAGAAACAACTTATATCCTAATTGTTTACAATTTTCATTTATCTTCATCTCCCAGTAATTTTATCAGGGATATAAATGCTTTCAATTTTTTTTCTTTACTGTTCTAAAATTACACACAGATGAAGATACGATATTAGTTTTTTATAAATTTGTACAATTCTTTAACACATTTTTGTGGCAAACTTCGATTTTGTAAAACTAATCACCATTTTATGTTCCCTATGTTTCAGTGGCTCCGTTGTCTCCTGTGAAAATGGCTCTATTTCGGAAACAATCGCTGGAAAAACTGTTTAAGGGCAGACTTAAAACTTCCGGTCAATGTCTTCAGGGCATTATGAATATTATTGAAAATCCCATTTCTGCAGTGCTGTGTTAAACATTATCTGACATCCGGACAAACACACTCAAACCAAGCCATTTGAACGAGTCTAGACAGGTTCTGTAGTTGAAAATAACATTCCATATTTATTTGCTCGTTAAAAAAATAACGCTTCTGCAAACTTTCCGTTTAGATGGACATTGCAAATTCGAAAAAAATACATTTTTGGGTGTGATTGATAAATTTCGGATAAATCCCTGTAGTGACTGTATTGAAATTTATGTGATTGTGAAACAAAGGGTACTAGGTAAGAAAACCATATAGTTTGATACTCGGATTAAGCAGAAAAAATTGAATCAATCCAAATTATTTTATATATCGACAATAAAGCAAAATGTTGAATGGTTGGAGACGTATGAAAGTTATTTTTTCATAAGGAAGTCGTGGCGATAAATTTCAATACAGAGTATTTCTTCGGATAAGTTGGCCACTGCCTGAGCTACAGTAAACCTAGCAAAGCGAAGCACATATCCTACACATTGGTTCAACCAAATAAAAAGTCGTAAGCAAATGTCGAACCAGACACAAATACACATCTTAAATTGCTCAACATTTTCTTCTAATAAAACTTTTCGATACAATTTTACATTCAAACTCTTTGCAAACGAATCTTACCCATCTTACGACTTTTTAAGTATTTTAGAATGATTTAATATAATTATTTAAGAACTTAGGTAGACGCTAACAAATTTATTCAGCATAATATGACAAATGGAATCTCATGTGCAATATCTCAACTATCCTTATGCAACCGCGTTTATACAGGCTGGTACAAATTGAGCGGGTAATTGGCAATATTTTTTTTATCAAGAAATGTGAAAGAATTGTATTTTTTTAAATGGGAAAAATGAGGAAACATTGCAGGGCAATTACGAGATATTAAAAAATAGTAATTTAATTGTCTCATAGAATTTTGTATTCTGTATTCTTTTGCACAGAGAAAAAGATGTTAGCAGATTTAATTAATATTTGAACTCCAGGCACGCGCATGATAGTTTTTCAGGTTTCACCATCTTAATCAGTCCAATCAATATAATTTTTTCACATTTTAACTTATACGAGAAAATCATATAGTCCAATAGGACTTAATTTGTAATATCCTGTATACTTTCATAAGGCGTAAAGTTTTGCGTATCTATAGAGAACTTAGAAGCGACTTAAATCTTTGAACCAAAAACAAAAAAGTTCATTTTTGAACGAAAAAGTAACATAACTAGAATGTGTTCTGATGTTTAATTTTTCCTTCAAAAAACTTGTTTTTAAACAATACATTTGCTGTGAAAAATGCGTTTAATTGAAGTCAATGATGGGGCTAACTCAACAAAAAGCATATACAAAACGTTTACTCAAGATAAGCCTGCTGAACTTACGACAAGAAAAAATAATACGCTACTTTTTCCGAAACACGAATATTAATATTAGCGGTATTTTAGTATATTAAAATCAACAGCCTACTGTAAGCAAATAAGTGAGTATTTCCTCTGACTATATAGATGAGCTTTTAGAAAAATCTGACCATTATATTTGCGTTTTCTACGGGGTGTTGCTTATATAGCTAGCAAACACTCAGTTGGAACTAAATGCACTTTCAGTATCTGTAACTTTTATGACCGAAATTCAAGTGGCTGTGCTACGTTTGTTGGTTTTTTTTCTCGGTGATAATAATTATTTTGAACACCCTGTCCAATTTCGTAGGCTCTTAGATCCAATTACTTTAGAAAAACGTATTTAATTATAGTGTATTCATGTAACTATCGAGGAAACCTAGAAAGGATTCAAATCAATCATTCAAGATTAAGCAAAATAGACTGACGGCAATTTCCTCGATATTTCGCAAGTATTTAGCCAATAAGGATCGAAAGGAAAATTTAATCAAGAGCTTTGTTGCAGTTTCGTTTTCATTAATTCTAATTCTCAACTATTCACTTAGCTATAGAAGAATGCTTACATTTTGTACCTTAGTTGAGTCCTTAAGTGCAAAACTACTTTCAATGTGATTTTAAGAAAATATAAGAATTACACTTATAAGATGAAATATATAAAATAACGCGCATTGTGCCTCACTTTGATTATTTAAGTTAAGCACTGATTGATTTTAATAAAATTGTTGAAAAAATGTTCTTTGGAGTTTCATTTTCTCTATTTAGTATTTCGGTTCAAGTTTTCGAAAACTAAGCAAACTGATTATTAGTTTTAAGAGCAAATTTTGTGCTGCGTTGATTTCAGGCAATGCTAAATATTAGGAGTTTAATATGTACAGGGTATCCGAGGAGAAAATAATATTTCAGTGTTGTGTTTTTTTAATCATGTCTCGCTTAATTTGATATTATTACTAAATTTAATAAAAAACCTAAAGTTTCACTAGGGATGTTATGTTAAAATGACTAATACGTTAAAAATTAATGCTAATCTTCTAATTAAGGTGACTAATTGGACGACATTTCAGAATGTGTGCGCTGGAGGTCTTGGAACCTTTTTACATTTCTTAAAGGCCGTTTGCACTATTTATGGTATATTAATTTTCATGTAAATTGTCTTGAAAAATTAAGTCACTCTTAACTCAAGATTTCCTTATCATTTGACATCGTCTTGTTCTTAGGAAATTTCTAAAATCAACAGCTTTGTAAATGTTCAATGCGATATAGTGCATCAAAATTAACATTTTCCAAAAAAAGTATCTAAGGTGGCATTCAAACTGGGTGGGGGGCACGTTTAAACATGTTCTTTGTATATTTTGTCACGACACTCACGATTTCTTTGTATATTTTTTCTTACTCTTTACTTAATTTTTTTTACGTTACCAACATTAATTTTATTTTGGTAAAATTGTGTTAATATTTTTTTAGATAAAATATAAGCACATATTCACAATGCGATGTTGCAAGATGCTGATTGTTGAATAATTGTTTTAATGTTTGAAAGCCGAATTTTTTATTGAATGATGTGAAACATATCGAAAAAGCTCTTTTTTAAGACGAAAACTTAGAAAAAAGTTAATTTTTTTAGGAAGAACTGAATAATCATATACAGGGTGATTCACAACCTTATGGAGCAGGGGCGTGTAGAGGACCTCAAAACCAGTCGAGTTTCCATTTAAGTTTTTTCCTCAGGCCCATGGTTAACGAGATAGAGGGTGTTAAAGATAAACAAAATATTGATATACCGTTTAAGAAATATTTTGCTCTAATTTTATTGAGCGTAGGTTACTGTTTAGACCCTCTACCCGTAGGTAAGCCAGCTAATTGCTAAAATCTACAGGGTGTTTTTTTCTAGAGGCATGCCTCCCTTTTACACCCCGAACTTTTTTGTGGTGCGCCACTGATTTCGACCGAACAAATTTTTCAATTTGTTGTTCAATTTAATATCTGTGGCAGTTGTTTCGTATCTGCCTTCGTTTTCGAGTTATTTGCACAAACATAAGTCCATCGAGGCGAGGGTTTCTGGGTGATTTTCTATGAATTTTCTTATACATTTTTTTGTGTCCTTTTGTTCACAATTTTTGAGAAAGATTGAAGTGCAAGTTGAAGTTAAAATAGGGATAGCTGACGAGTTAACTTTAAAGTTTTTTTTACTTTAATTTAGTTTAAAATAATTGAGGTTCATCGGCTGTAAGCTAATCCAAGTAAAAAATCACCCACGAATATTTCAATTTATTATGAAATTAATTTAATAAAATTAAATAATTAAATTATTTTCTTTTAATTTAATAAATTAACGGTGCTGTTCAAAATTCGCCGAAAATCCAATTTATCCAATAATTGAATGTAATTTTTATAATGGTACATGTATTACTGATACGATTCCATAAATCGTCTGTAGTTTCAACAGGCGTTAAATATACAAATTATTTTAAAGCTCCCCACAGAAAAAAATCACACTTATTCAAATCATCATCAGGTTCAAAAATTCACGAGCATGAACCCATGTCAAGTCGCAATTGTAAAGACAAATTTTCAGAAAGCTCTAGAAGAGTGTTTTGGAGGAAAAGCAAATAACTTGCACTGTTCAAACGATTAGGTAAAATAACTGGGCCCATCAAAGATCGCCCAACGATTCCGGCCCACCCATTAATCTCATAAACTGTCGTTAAAGAGACAATACCAATATTTTGCTTAAACTTTATCCATGGGAGCTTAAGAAAGAAAACTTAAATGGCAACCCGTTGTTGTGAGGTCCTCTACACTCCCCTGCGCTGTGTCCATAAGGTTGTGATTCACCCTGTATAGCATACATAATGTTGATAACTTGAACCTATCGAACTGTTGCCGTTTGCTACTCAATCAGCTTCTACAATTCAATTTTCTTATATTGTGAATATCGCGGGCGACTTTTTTAAACTGGTTTGATTCTGCTCAATGACCCTTTTCGGAATCTACTATCAATTCTTGTTGGGTTCCATTGAAGAATTTGACCCTGCGCCCACACGGTTCAACCACACGTGTTTGGGACATCCCTTGGAACCATCCATACTGTGCAGCAGACAAGAACACAAATCACCGTCGTGTTTTGCTGGCTATTGTGAAAAATAGCGTTAAGTCACCTGGCAGGTCCATTCACTGAAGTGCAGGGTTGCCGGTACCATCGCTTGATCGGTTGGTACCGAAGATTTTTATCTTCATAGTTTGTTGGTTCTCGGTAGGAAGCGAGTTGGAAAAAGTCAATAATTACTTAGACGCTCTGGAATTTTTTAACTAGATCTACAAACAAGGTGTTTCGAAGAACAGTTAAACTGCAGGGTAGTACCCAGAAATTTTGATCCCAAACTTGATTTATTGAAAAGTTTGTAACGCGTGAACACCCAGGAGTTGATTTTTTCAGCCAGCAAGGTTTTGCTGGCTAAATAATAAACCGGGTGTCAATCTGAAAACTTCCCCCCCTTAATATCTTACTTGCAGATGAAAATATGAAAAGTCGGAAAGACCCACCAATTTTACTTGTAAGGGAGACACTTTAAATTAATATTTTTAGCCTCCTTGTTTCAACCCCCTAGGACCGGTAGATGTCACCCTTAGAATCTTAAATGAGAAGGGGGGGTCAAGTGGAGTGGCACATCATTTTAACGGGCGTTCAATTCTCTTTACACTAATTACTACTTTGTTGGTTTTTTTTATAGGTTTTTATAACTTTATTTATAGGTTTTCGAATAATCGCGTTTTAAAGTTGTAGAAACAATCAAACTTGCGTGCATTCAGATATTGGTTTTCAGGTTAGTGTTTACACAAAAACAATATTGCGTATTGCGTTTCCTTGTAATACAAATGATTAGAAGAGTAGGTTACACTGTTAAAATTGTTGCATAACGGGAAGAAAATCTAGTTTAAACATTGATTTCTTATTTTTGATTTTGATCTTAAATATTACAAAAATACCTTTTTATTTGGAGAAGAAAAAATTGTACAATAAAACGTATGTCATCTAATTACGCACGATTTTATTAAATTGTTCAAAATGTTGTCCAGTTTGCTGTAAACAATAATAAAGTGTGTTTCCAAACTCCTCCCTAACTCTTCGGAACACTCTACAGGGCAATTCCCTCCGGCATTCTGCTGCAATTCTCCTTTTAAAATCATCAATATCAGCAGGTTGTGTTTCGTAAACAATAGACTTAAAATGTCCCCAAAGAAATAAGTCTAAGGGTGTTCAATCCGGTGATCTTGGAGGCCACTCAATTGGACCCCCTGCCAGTCGATCTATGCCGGAATATCTTATCAATCTTAGGGAGGGTTCGAAAATAGACTTTACTATTGTTTACAGAAAAATCGACAACAGTTTGAAGAACTTATAAGATAGTGCGTAAGTATATCCCATGGGGTTTATTATAGAAATTTATTTTCCGTAAATAAAAAGTTATTTTTCTCGGAGTTAAATATCAATAAATCCGCAATCGATTGTTTAAACTAGATTTTCTTCCTGTTATTCAACGATTTTAATTGTGTAATCTACTCTTCTAATCATCTGTATTACAAGGACACCCAATACAATGGATTTTGTGTAAACACTAATTTGAAAGCCAATATCTGAATGCGCGCATGTTTAATTGTTTCTACGACTTTGAAACGCGATTATTCGAAAATCTCCGAACAAAAAGCAACAAAGTAATAACTAATGTAAAGAGAATTGAACGCCCTTTTAAACGATGTGCCACTTGACCCCCCTTCCATTTAAGATTCTAAGGGTGACATCTACCCGTCCTAGTGGGTTGAAACAAGGAGGCTAAAAATATTAATTTTGAGTGAAAACAAATACAATTGACGGATTTTTCATATTTTCAACTGCAAGAAAGATATTAAGGGTGAGAAGTTTTCAAATTGACAACCGATATGTATAATATTTTTATCATTAGCAGCAGTCTAAAAAAGACAAATGAAAAAAATAATTATCATAAAGATTTAGTTTATTTAATCCAATGGTGCAGGAGGACCATTGGATGCATAGATAATTTCAAACGCACGAACACATTGATACATGTGGCTTAAATCACCCGAAAATGTACAGTTTCATAGAAAAAGGCGTTTTCTTACAAAAAAAGTCTTTAAAGTTTTATAATTATTTTACATTTAATATCTATGTATGATCTGCATGTTTATTTTTGTTTAAAAAAAAATGTATGCTAATTATTTTCCGACGTTTTCCATCCACTACAACCGTTCGGATGCTGGAAATTTTGATGCAAGTGATTGGGCGCACCTGCTCAAAACTTTTTTGAAAACAAATCATTTTTATTCAATTAACAGAAAAGTTTAACCCAGAAGATCAATATTTAGGTACATACCTCAACATCTAGTTTGAAAGCATACTTGTTGAATTGAGACAAGTAAAATATTGGATAGCCAATTTACAAGGCGATATATTTAATCAATTTTATGCTAATTTTTCACGTGCTGCCTTTAATAAAGAGACCCTAATAAAATGTTATTCAGGGCCTGTTTTGTAGTGAAATATCGACATTTGCTGCGACTTCAACATTTTTTTCAGAGATAACACTCTGGAATTTATTAATTGCATTTGTCACTCACTGTGGTGAGTAACATGGTAAAACAACAACTGAAGCTGGAAAAGCTTCTCTTCACTGATTCAAGATTATAATAATATTATAATGATGAATTCCTCCACAATGTGG